CAGTACCTGGCGGGGCCTGGAGATGAACACCTTAGCCTGGGCATGGACTGAGACCGTGTGACGTGAGATGTGTTGAGATCTGTACACAAAACCGATTTTGACCCTTGGCTCCAGCACCTTATAGGTCACCCAAGAACACTTTTTGTTGTTGTTGGTAAGAATTATTTAGCCAGGCAGGGGTGGCTCATGCCTTTAATCACAGCACTTGGGAGGCCTAAGTAGGTGGATCTCTGTGAGTTTGAGGACAGCCATGGCTGTTACACAGAGAAACCCTGTCTCAAACCGCAACCCTCCCAAATATTTAATTTTACCAGTAAGTGTGTTGCCTGAGTGTATGTGTGTGCACCATCTGCACGCAGGAACCCATGGAGGTCATAAGACAGTGGATCCCCTGAAGTGGAATTCCAGGTGGTTGTGAGGTGCCATGTGGGTGCTGGGAACTAAGCCTGGGTCTCACACAAGAACGATAATGTTCCTAGCCACCGGGCCATCCCTCGAGCACCTCAGCTTGCATTTCTATGTGGGCTCCATGGATCGAGTGCAAATCCTGGCACTTAGACAGCAAATGCCTTCACACTCTAAGCCGTAGCCCCAACTCCCGGCCGGTTCTTAAAGGCCATGAAACCTGGTAAGAGCTATTGCTTATGGAGAGTCCTCAATGTCCCAGGCTTTCTGCTTGATTCTTTCTGTTCCTTTTGCATTTAAACCCCACTTTAAGAGAGTTGGTCTTAACTTCCCCACTGGGAAGAGGGAGTAGCTGGCCCAAGGCCACCAACGAGGCTACTCCCAGGACGGGCCCCCAGCTCTTGTAAGGTGAAGTATGTAAGGGAGTGGTGAGCCTGGTTGCGGGTTACAGGTTATATGATAGGCAGCTTATGCAACTAGAGCAGTGTGGGCCCCACGCTGTCCTTGTGGGGCCCCTGTTCTCTTGTGAAGTGGATAGAGGGTTGGAGCAAGGCTGTTACCTGGTGGGGGGGTGGAATCCGGGGAGAAGCACAGGCCAGGGAGCATCAGCACACAGTCATCCTCCCCCGTCTCCAGGGCTGGCTCAGCTGTATGGAAAGCTGCGTCTCCACCTGAGGTTTGTGGTGTGTGTGTGTGTGTGTGTGTGTGTGTGTGTGTGTGTGTGTGATCTCTGGAGTTCATTCTGGGTGCTCTTGTTTGCAGGCTTCCTCTCTGACTCCCCCCTGTGCCCAAGTTTTTCTTCTACGCCCTTATTTTGGAAGGCAGCCTGAGTCCTGGATATCCCACTAACTCTGACCCAGTCCTCCCTAAGAAAAAGCTATACTTGGGAGTAGAGGCAGACAGGTCTGTGAGTTCCTGGTCTAATGTTCCACTGTCTCAAGAAAGAAAAAGCTAGTTTTTGAGTATCTGCCTTGTGCCTGGCTCAGCACTCAGGGTGTCCTGAGTATTAGTTCAATGCTTACTGTATTTTGTTAAGTCAGCTCTAATTTCCCCTGTAGTGGAATATTATTTTAAGGTGTGTTAAATTTGTTTATGCTCTGGTATATTTGTTTAATGATGCAAAGATGTGTTATTTTATATTTCATTTGTTTAACCCCGTGAAGCTGTGATTCTTTTTTTTTTAAGATTTTATTTATTTATCATGTATACAACATTCTGCTTCCATGTATATCTGCACACCAGAAGAGGGCACCAGATCTCATAACAGATGGTTGTGAGCCACCATGTGGTTGCTGGGACTTGAACTCAGGACCTCTGGAAAAGACGTCAGTGCTCTTAACCTCTGAGCCATCTCTCCAGCCCCCGGTCATTCAGCTTCTTTATTAAACCAATTAAAGCATAATTTACACAGTGTACAGGAATATTCCACAGCAACCTCCTCCAATAAAGCTACACTTTCTAATCCTTTTAGTCCTTTTTGTTGTTGTTTGGTTTTTCGAGACAGGGTTTCTCTGAGTAGCTTTGGAGGTTGTCCTGGAACTCACTCTGTAGACCAGGCTGGCCTCGAACTCCCAGAGATCTGCCTCTGCCTCCCGAGTGCTGGGATTAAATGTGTGTGTGCCACCAATGCCCTGCTCCTTTTAATCCTTTCAAACTGTTCCATTCTCTGATGGCTAAGCATTCAAATATATGAGCCTATGAGGGCTATTCTCATTCAATCTGCCACAGCGATAGTGACTTGAGTTATGGATACTAATGGAGGTGACATTTTGCTTTATGGTCCCAAAGGTCATGAAGCCACATTTTCTGTGCCGTGTGTGTGTGTGTGTGTGTGTGTGTGTGTGTGTGTGTTATTAGCCAGGCAGTGGTGGTGCACGCCTTTGATCCCAGCATTCCGGAGGCAGAGGCAGGTGGATCTCTGTGAGGTCAAAGCCAGCCTGGTCTACAAAGTGAGCTCTAGGACAGCCAAAGCTACAAAGAGAAATCTTATCTTGAAAAAAAAAAAAAAAGTGCACGTGAGTGAGTCTCTGTGTATGAGTGTGTGTGTATGTGTGTGTGTCTGTGTTGTGTGTGTGTATATGAGAGTATGTGTGTTGAAACAGGATCTCACTATGTAGACCAGACTAGCCTTGAACCCAGAGATCTGCCTGCGTCTTTGAATTCTAAAGACTTGAATGCATGCACAACCATGCCATGCCTGGCCTTTGAGACCGGGTTTCTCTATGTACCCTTGGCTATCCTGGAACTCACTCTGTAGACCAAGCTGGTCTTGAACTCAGAGATCTGCCTGCCTCTGCCTCCCGAGTGCTGGGATTAAAGCTGTGTGCACCACCACCTCCCTGCTAGCCCATCCAACTGTTTTACTTTTCATTTATTTATCTTTTTATTTTCAATTTTTCCCTAGACTAGTCGGGTGCAGAAGGTAACTTCTTTAAGAGAGGGTCTCGTTAAATTGCCCAAACTGGCCTTGAACTTTAAACCTTTCTGCTGTAGCTTCCTAGATATCTGGGATTACAGTATTACCCCGGTGGTCCCAATAGTTGGAGAGGTCTGGATCCCATGCTAGTTCATAAGGATGGCAGGCACAGATTGGGGTGGGGTGGGGGCTGTCCATGGAAAGAACCGGCAAGGACAAAGGCCTTGTCAGAGGAAAGGGGGCTTGTGCAGACATCTTGCAGGCATGGTGGGGGGGGGGTGGCAGGCTGGGGCCTGGGGTGAGGACAGGCCCTTGGAAGCGTTGTTCCTTCTGCTAGACTAGGGCAGAGCCAAGGAGGATATGACTGGTGGGGGACAGCCTGTGTAACCTCTGAGCCTTGCAGCCTTGGGAAGAGGTCAGGGGCTCTCTGAGAATCACCATCGGTGTCATTAGGCTCCCATAACAGATGACACAAACTGATGGCATAAAGTAACTGCATATTTGCTCACAGCTGGAGGGCAAAAAGTCCACATTTGAAAGGGGGAAAATTTATAGGATTTGAGAAGAAAAGGACATAAAAGTCTGGATTCGAACCCACTTCCCTTTTGCTGTATGACATTGGCCAAGTTCCTCAGCCTTTTAATAATGTATTTATGTGATTTTACGTGCATTGGTGTTTTGCCTGCATGTATGTCTGTGTGAGATTGTCAGATCTTGGAGCTACAGAGAGTTGTGAGCTGCCATGTGGTGCTGGGATTTGAACTTAGGTCCTCTGGAAGAGCAGCCAGTGCTCTTTAACCACTGAGCCATCTCTGCAGCCCTCAGCATTTTAAAATTTGGGATTGATCTATAAAACCATAATAGTGCTTCTTGGGACTTTGTAAAGATAATAATCATACCAATATGTGTTTATGGGACACTACCCCTCTCTCAGGAGCGTGTAGCCAAGGCTGGCCTGAACTGTGTACCCCAGGCAGACATTGAATTAGTCTTCCTGTCTCAGCCTTCCTGGTTAGAGGCATGTGACATCATGCCTGACTTATGGAGCATTTTCTATGGGCTTTTTCTTTTCTTTCTTTCTTTCTTTCTTTCTTTCTTCCTTGGAATCTTTCTTCTTTGAAATAGATATTTTATTATTATTAGAAACGAGTTTCTTTTACATGTCAATCCCAGTTCTCTCTCCCTCCCCTCCTGCCCCCCACCAAACTCCCATCCCAATCCCTTTCTGCTCCCCAGGGAGGGTGAGGCCTTCCATGGGGAATCTTCAAAGTCTGTCATATCATTTGGAGCAGGGCCTAGAACCCCCCCCACCCACCCCAGTGTGTCTAGGCTGAGAGAGTATCCCCCCCTCCATGTGGGTTCCCAAAGTCCTTTTGTGTACTCGTGTTAAATACTGATCCACTACCAGAGGCCCCATAGATTGTCCAGACCTCCAAACTGACATCCTCACTCAGGGGGGCTGGAACAGTCCTATGCTGGTTTCCCAGCTATCAGTTTGGGGTCCACGAGCTCCCCCTTGTTCAGGTCAGCTGTCCTGTGGATTTCTCTAGAGCCTTCATCCAGTAGCCGATGGAAGCAGAGGCAGACACCCACTGCTAAACACTGAGCTGAACTCTGGAACCCAATTGCAGAGAGGGAGGAGTGAAGATTGAAGGGGTCAGGACCAGGGCTTTTTCATTTCATCCAATGGCTCTTTCACTTACTGATTCTCTTTGACCTTTCTGAGAAAAGAAACTACGGTTACCTTGGCTGCTGCTGTAAGCGTACTGCCTGACCCCACTGTGGTCATGTCTAGATAGCTGAGGTTATACAGTGTGCTGAGCAGCCAGCCCTATAATGTGAGTTGGCCCAGGATGCCTGGGCCATCCCAGTTTCCTGGAACAACTCCAGAGTGGTGGCTTCTAGCTTGGATTGTTTCTGCCCTACTTCATTGGTAATTCCCCAGCTTTGTTTCACATGCAGATTCCTTCCCAAAGGAAACAAGTTTAAGAAAAAATATTTTTTTTTCTGGCATCAGGGATTAAACCTAGGAGCTAGACAAGAAATGAGTTATTTTATCTTATGGGTTGTCAAAGGACTCAGAGCTGGAGAGAGAGGGAGGGAGGGAGGGAGGGAGGGAGAGGGAGAGAGAGAGAGGGAGAGAGAGAGAGAGAGAGAGAGAGAGAGAGAGCGAGCAAGCGCCAGCGCTGATCTTTGTTGCTAACTGGCTTCCTCTTCCCCAGAGACGAGAATGGTCAGATTGCCAACATCTGTGAGCCCTCCTCAGTGCTCCTGGGGCTGAGGCTTGGCCAGCAGCCATGGGGCTAGACTGGCCCCAAGCCTGGCTGTTGGGCCTGCCCACAGCTGTGGTGTATGGCTCCTTGGCCCTGTTCACTTCCATCCTGCACAATGTTTTCCTGCTGTACTACGTGGACACCTTTGTCTCGGTGTATAAGATCAACAAAATGTCCTTCTGGATTGGAGAGGTAGGCCAAGCATGGGGCAGCCACTATGGGTGGGAGACTAGGGCATCAGGCTCCAGGCAGACAGAAGGGCTTGGGTTCTGTCCCAGTGTTAGGCTGTGTTGTTTAGCAAGACTCAGCCAGAAAAGCTGGCGGTGGGGGGTGGCGGAGTCTTAATGACTCTTCAGGAGGATTCTAGTAGCACTCCTGACCATTGCCTTAGGTGTCCACTGTTGTTTGTTTATATATAATGTAGTACAAATAGCTATATGCTTTAATCTGCTGGATAAACTTACCAGCTGCCCGGGGTCACTGGGGTTTGACGTGTGTACCAGCCAGGAGAGGGGCTTTGACAGAAGAACAGACACGAACAAAAGCTTGCCAGCCAGAGGCTGCCACCATCTTTGGGGAAAGTGCATAGACTAGAGTTGGGGAGCTCTATGCAGCCCACCTTTCCTGTCTCTCTTCTTGCAGACTGTATTTCTCCTCTGGAACAGCTTCAACGACCCCCTCTTCGGCTGGCTCAGTGACCGCCAGTTTCTCAGCTCCCAGTCCCGGTGTGTGTCTTCGGGACGGTGCTTCACTGCCCTAATCTCACCCTGATGGAACCACTGCTCGTATTTGGGGTGGGAAAAGGAAGGGATGGCAGCTGTGGTACGGGCGTGGCTCAACTGGCGGAAGGGGTTGACCCTAGTGTGGCATGGGTGGCTAATCCTGCTGTTTGTAGTGCACCCCCTTACCCCTTACCTATTGTTGCTCACTACGATCCCCAACCCTGAGAATCAGTGTCCCACAGCCTTTTGGTCATCATCCCTGACAAGCTGGTAATGGGGCAATGGGCTGAGGAGAGAGACTGGTAAGCTTGCCTCATAAGTCTGAAGTCAGGGGCTGGAGACCTGGGGTGTATCTTGGTGGGAATTCCTTCACTCCATCTCCTGGACCCAGCGAGGGGAACTAGGGCCTGCTCAGGCCAAATGGTTACCTCCTAACACCTTCTTCTCCCTGACAGGTCAGGAGCTGGGCTCTCCTCCAGAGATGTGGTGCTGACACGGGTGCGGGCTCTGAGCTGGCATGGGCCGCTGCTGGCACTGTCCTTCCTGGCATTCTGGGTGCCCTGGGCCCCAGCTGGCTTGCAGTTCTTACTGTGCCTGTGCCTTTATGATGGCTTCCTGACGCTTGTGGACCTCCACCATCATGCCTTGCTGGCTGACCTGGCCCTCTCAGCCCACGACCGCACCCACCTCAACTTTTACTGTTCCCTCTTCAGTGCAGCTGGCTCCATGTCTGTCTTTGCCTCCTATGCCTTTTGGAACAAGGAGGACTTCTCCTCCTTCCGTGCCTTCTGTGTGGTACTAGCTGCTGGCTCTGGGCTGGGCTTTCTGGGGGCCACACAATTGTTGAGGCGGCGGATTGAGGCAACCAGAAGGGACAAGGGGTGCCCAGCACTGGTCGTGGACGGTGGGTGCGTGACTAGCCTTGGCTCCCTAGGGCCAGAGTCTAATTTTAACACTCAGTCGGGCCCCTGGCCCACTCTGGCCTAACCCCTGCCGTCCCCTCCCCTCTGCCCACAGAGTATGTGAAGAGGAGCTGCTGGTGGGTGGTGAGGAAGCAGGCAGCATCACCTTGGGCCAGTACCTCCGGCAGCTGGCGCGACACCAAAACTTCCTGTGGTTTGTGGGCATGGACCTGGTACAGGTATGGGGAGCCATTCCCTCACCCCTCCTTCAAGGGTACTTCAAGAGCTGGGAATGTAGGAGGCCTCCCTGAGGTCTGATGGTAGGAAGGTTGGGAAGCTAGGAGACCTAGGTTCTAGCACTTCCTGTGTGATTGTCCCTCCCCCAGCCCCATAGTGCTTCGTGTCCTTGACCCCAGGGCCTTGTAGATTGTTAGGCAGTGCTGCTACCAGTGAGCTACACCCTGCCTCTCACTATGTGGTTTTAGGCTGGTCTCAGCCTCCGAGGCCATTCCTGTCTCATCCATTTGTGAAGGTTGAGAGAGTCCTCCCCCCACCCTTTTTTTCTTTTCTTTTTTTTTTTTTTTTTTTTTTTTTTTTTTTTTAAGTTGAGAGAGTCCTCCCCCCACCCTTTTTTTCTTTTCTTTTTTGTTTTTTTTTTTTTGTTTTTTGAGGCAGGGTTTCTCTGTAGGTTTGGAGGCTGTCCTGAAACTCTCTTTAAAGACTAGACTGGCCTCAGGCTCACAGAGATCTGCCTGCCTCTACCTCCCGAGTGCTGGGGTTACAGGCGTGCACCACCACCACCTGGCAATTGTTTGTTTTGGTTTTTGGGTTTTCAAGACAGGTTTCTCTGTGTAGCCCTGACTCTTCTGGAACTCACTCTATAGACCAGATTGGTCTTGAAGTCACAGAGATTAGCCTGCCTCTGCTTCCGGAGTGCTGAGATTCCCTTATGGGGACTCTGTGACAACCTTTATTATTATTATTATTTTTATTTTATTTTATTTCATGTGCATGGGTGTTTTGGTTACATGTCTGTCTGTGTACAAGTGGGTACCTGGTACCAAAGAAAGCCAGAAGATGTCAGGTCCCCTGGAACGGAGCTAAGAAGGCTCTAAGCCACTATGTAGGTGCTGGGAATTGATCCTGGGTCCTCTGGAAGAGCAGCCAATGTTCTTAACCAATGAGCCATCTCTTCAGCCCCTCTAACAATTTTTTTTAAAACATCAAGCATCCCATCTAAAACATAGTTCATGTACAAGTTATTCAAACTTCTATTTTTTTAAATACATAAATACATTTGTTATTTTCATGTCATGAAAACTTAAAAAATTGTTCTGGTTGCTATTTTGCCATGCCTTTAAACTTTAAGTATAATTAGATAGGCCGCAGGGAAGGTGGTTTGGGTTTGTCCTGGCATGCTCCATGTTTGGCGGCATGGGGTGGCCCAGGGCTGCTGTCACCTCTCAGCCTTCTGCCCGCAGGTGTTTCACTGCCACTTCAACAGTAACTTTTTCCCTCTCTTCCTGGAGCACTTGCTGTCCGATCACATCTCCCTCTCCACCGGCTCTTTCCTCCTGGGTAAGTGGTGCCTCTGGCCAGCAGCTTGCACATCCTGCTCCCAGTCCGGTTTTCCTCGAGTGGAGGTCTAGTGGGCCTCACCTCAGTCCTCCTGGTGATGGTGGCACCCACAGGCAGTGTGGTGCAGTGAGCGGCCAGTGTGCCATTTACTGAGTGGACTTGGGTGTGTTATTGAATCTTTCTGAGCTACTTTCATTTTCATTTGTTTTTCTGAGACAGGGTTTCTCTGTGTAGCCCTGGCTGTCCTGAAACTCACTCTGGAGACCAGGCTGGCATTGAACTCACAGAGATCCGCCTGCCTCTGCCTCCTGAGTGCTGGGACTAAAGGTGTGCACCTCCACTGCCCGGCCTTTTCTTCCCCCCACTCTTTGTAAACGGAGGGTAATAATAGTGTAGTGCTCGCCCTCTCCCCCATGTCCATGGATTCAGCCAACCATAGATCCAGAGTGTCAGGAGGAAAAAAGTGTCTCCATTAAACATGTATAGTCTTTTTTTGTTTTTCAAGGCAGTTTCTCTGTAGCTTTGGAGCCTGTCCTGGAACTTGCTCTGTAGACCAGGCTGGCCATAAACTCACAGAGATCAGCCTGTCTCTTCCTCCTGAGTGCTGGGATTAAAGGCCTGCACCACTACCACTCAGCCAGTCTTTTTTCTTTGTACATGTTTACTTTTTACTGTTTGTGTGGTGAGAGTGTGGGTGTGTGCCATGGCGCACAGGTGGAGATGTCAGAGGACAACCTTCAGGAATCAACTCTCTCCTTTCATAATGTGGGACCCAGGGATGAAACTCAGGTTGTCAGGCTTAGTGGCAAGCCCGTGTGTGACCTGCACACAGACCCTCCTGCCCTTTTCTTTCCTTCCTGTCATTATCTCTTAAATGATACAGTGTAATGCTATTTGCATAACATTTACATGGTACTGAATATGATAAATGATAGACATCACTTATGCCAGGCTTGATGACAGACACTTGTAATCTCACTCAGCACTATGGAAACTAAGGATTGATGAGACTTTGTTACCATCCTGGGTCTCAAAAACAATAAACAGTAACAACAATATAAAAAAAAAAAAACACAGACAGAAAACAAGAACTTTTTTTTAAAGTAAGAAAAGTATAGGAGAGGGGTTGGGGGTGTAGCCTTGTTGGTAGAACCTGCATGAGGCTCTGCTGGCCTAGATTACCCAGCACCACGCAAATACGGCAGTGATAGATGTCCATCGTTGATACACTCTGGAGGCACAGTTAGGAGTATCAGAAGTTCAAAGTCAGCCTAAGCTACACAGCAAGAGAGATGCTAGCCTGCGCTAATTAAAATGAAAATGAAAAGGGTGAGCATGGCAGTGTAGGCCTTTAATCCCAGCACTCAGGAGGAGGAGATGGGATGATCTCTGTGAGTTTCAGGCCAGCAGGGGCTACATAGTGAGATCCTATCTCAAAACAAAAAATAAAAGAAAAATAGTTGGGTGTAATGGCACACGCCTTTAATCCTAGCACTTTGGTGGCAGAGGCAGGTCGATCTCTGTGAGTTTGAGGCCAGCCTGCTCTACATAGAGTTCCAGGTCAGCCAGGGCTACACAGAGAGACCCTGTCTCAAAAATAAATAAAGTAAAAATACAAAACAAAGCTGGGTATGGTGTAGGGACTGTAATCCCAACACGCAGAGCAGAATATGAAGGCAGGAGGATCAAGAGTTCAAGACCATCTAGAGCTTCATGATACTAAATTAAAAAATAGAATAAAAGAAAGTATATAGGAATGTTTATTTAAGTCCTATGCAGCCACAATGCCATTTTATATAAAGGTCTGGAAAATCCACAGATTTTGCTATGCATGAAGGGTACTGGAGTCAACTCCCATAAATACCAAGGGACTACAATACCTACATAAATACCAAGGGACAACAACAAAGGGCTTGTGAAAATTAAGGGGTGAAAACCTGGCTGGAACACTGGCTACTCTTTCAGAGGACCGGGTTTGGTTTCCATTTATCACAAGGTGCCTCACAACTGTCTGTAACTCCAGTTCCTGGGGATCCAAAGCCTGCTCTGGCCTCTGCACAGATATCCATGCAGTCAACACATGCATACACATAAAATAAAAATTAAGATATGATAATAAAGTGTTAGCAGTGCCAGACACTGTTGGCATACAGTGAATGCAAACTGAGATTCTGATTGCCATGTCGGTTGCCAACCACTGCTGAGGCTATGGCGTTGCTCCTGAAGAAGCGGGCTCTCTTCCCTCCCCAGGCATCTCCTATGTTGCTCCTCATCTCAACAACCTGTACTTCCTGCCCCTGTGCCGGCGCTGGGGTGTCTATGCAGTGGTACGGGGGCTCTTCCTGCTCAAGCTGGGCCTCAGCCTCCTCATGCTATTGGCTGGCCCAGACCGCCCTGGCCTGCTTTGCTTCTTCATTGCCAGGTATGCCCGGCCCCCCCCTGCCCCCCCACTCTGTGTCCACCGCCTTCACTCTTGCCCCTCTCTCCATGGGCAGCAACCGTGTCTTCACCGAAGGCACCTGTAAGCTGCTGACACTGGTGGTCACTGACCTGGTGGATGAAGACCTGGTGCTGAACCATCGGAAGCAGGCAGCCTCAGCGCTTCTCTTCGGTATGGTTGCCCTGGTGACCAAGCCTGGCCAGACCTTTGCCCCACTGCTGGGCACCTGGCTTCTCTGCTTCTACACAGGTGAGGCTCCTTGTCCTACCAGCTCTGGTATAGTGAGGGAGGCAGAAGGGCCGTGCTTAGCCCTGCACTGCCATGGATAATAACCCTGGTTGGCCCACTCCTCCATTTCTCCCGTAAGATCATCGATTCATTCAACAATTCGGCATAGGCCTCTGTATAGATTGGGCCCCGTGTGTAAGGGAGGGAACAATGGTAAGACAGGCAAAATCTTAGCTATGTGGAGCTAAAATTCTAGACAGGGGCAGGGTGGTTAAACCTTTAATCTCAGCACTCAGGAGGCAGAGGCAGGTGGATCTCTGAGTTTGAGGCCAGCCTGATCTACAGAGTGAGTTCCAGGGCAGCCTGGGCTACATAGAGAAACCCTGACTTGAAAAATTCTGGACAGGGAGAGGGGTGGACAGGATGGCACATGAATTGGATTTTCAGTGCCCAGGGAAGCTGTTGGGAGACTTACAGGTTGGGAAGTGACATGGTCCGATTGACGGGTCATTAGCACGGAAATGTTAAGGAAACTGGCCAAGGTTGTGGAAACTTGGAGTAGGGAGGTGGCAGGTGAGACACACTATGGAACTGGGGTGTCACATAAGGATGGGTGTGGGGAGGGACAGCTGAGGATTGACAGCTGCTTGGGATATGGGCCTGTCACTCAGAAGGGAGAGTGTGAGAAATGGGTTTGGGGCAGATATCAGAGACACGGTCTGAGGCCAGCCTGGGCTGCATAGTGAGCTCCAGGTCAGCCAGGCTACACAGAGAATCCCTGACTCAAGAGCAAAGCCAAACAAACAGAAAAGGCTATGATAGGAACCAGGCGAGATGGGGCACAGCTGTGACTGCAGCCTTTAGGGCACAAGCAGGAGATGGGAGTCCACGGTCACCTTTAGCTGCATCCGAGAACAGCTTAGGTGTGTGAGACTTTCGGGAAACAAATCAGTGCTGAGCTGGAGAGCACTTGCCTAGTCTGCCTGAAGCCTAGTTTGACTCCTAGGAACACATAAGCTCTCTGTGGTGGTGTCCTCAGGAGGTAGAGGCAGGAGGACCAGATGCTCAAGTTCATCCTTGACTACAGAAGCGGGGAAGGAGCTGGTCATGGTAGCACTTGCCTTTAATCCCAGCACGGCAGAGGCAGAGGCAGAGGCAGAGGCAGAGGCAGAGGCAGAGGCAGAGGCAGAGGCAGAGGCAGAGGCAGAGGCAGAGGCAGAGGCAGAGGCAGAGGCAGAGGCAGAGGCAGAGGCAGAGGCAGAGGCAGAGGCAGGAGGTGAATTCTGTGAATTCAAGGCCAGTTCTGTCTACATAGCAAGTTCCATAACAGCCAGAATTACTTAGAAAATTTAAAATAAAATATAGATTGATAAATAGATGGTTAGGGGCTGTGGCACATACCTATAATCTCAGCTACTTGTTATAACGCTAAGGTAGGAAACTACAAGATTGAGGCCAGCCAACAGTGAGACTGCTTTAATTTTTTTTTTTTTCTGAGACATGGTTTCTTTGTTTTGCCCTGGTTGTCCTGGACGCTCTGTAGACCAGTTGAACTGGTCTCCCACTCACAGAGATCTGCTTCCCCTCTCAGACACTGGGATTAAAGGCTTGTGCCACCATCGCCAGGCTTGATGTAAATTTTTGGGGTTGGTTTAGGACACTGCTATGTTTTGTTTGAGATGTGCGGGGCAGCTGGGCTGACCATGTCCCTTCTGTGTGTTCTTTCCCTAGGTCATGACCTTTTTCAGCAGAGGTTGGTTTAGGACACTGCTATGTTTTGTTTGAGATGTGCAGGGCAGCTGGGCTGGCCATGTCCCTTCTGTGTGTTCTTTCCCTAGGTCATGACCTTTTTCAGCAGCCCCCGGTGACTACTGTGGGCAGTGTCCAGCCATGGCCAGAGCCGCCAGCGCCAGCGCCAGCGCAGGCTCCCACACTCCGCCAGGGCTGCTTCTACCTGCTGGTGCTGGTGTCCATCAGCTGCGCACTGCTGCAGCTCTTCACCTGGTCCCGGTTCACGCTGCACGGGCGACGCCTACGCGTGGTCAAGGCCCAGAGACAGAACCTGGCACAGATCCATACACTGGACATTAAGACAGTGTGAGAAGTGTAGCAAAGCCACCCTGCTGAGGGCAGGGGCCTCTCTTGCTGGCCAGTGGCCAGGATCCCACTTCTTCACCTTCTCCCGGTGCCGCCCAGAGAGCAGATGGCATGGGGGAGCTGCTGGGGCCGAACCAGGCGCCTCACTGAGGTCTGTCCTTCTTTAGCTGTCTGACTCAGCTTGGGCAAGGGCTGGAACATATGTGCTCAGGGACTGTGACTCCGTGGGGCAAGGAAGGAAGGAGGACCAGAAAGGGTAGGGCTGGTGAGGTGCACAAGGAGCTGCTGGGGTCCTGTAGCTGGGGCTTGCCACTTGGGTTTGGGAAGTTCTGACACTGTGACTCCTTTTGCCCAAAGGAGGTAAAGCTGACAGAAAGTGCCACTTGCTCCCCCGCCCCCCCAGAAGTTTCTCTCAGGCATCTCTGCTTCAGCTTGAAGTGGTGTGCCCTCCAGGCTGTAGGCCCAGCAGGCCTGGAAACGCTAAAGAGGCTCATCTCATTGCAGAACAAGTAAAGACAGTCATTCTTATTCCTTGGGTCTGTGTCGTGTGTGTGGGGGCGGTGGGCAGGAAAAGTACCCCAAGAGCATTTTCCTAGAGATATGAGGACAGAAATGCAAATTGCAGGCTGGACCTATAATCCCAGTATTTAGAAGGCTGAGGCGAGACTGCAAAAAACCCACCACCACCAAAGCAGACTGCTGGGTGATCAGGCCAGTCACCTCCATGCACTTCCCATATGCCATTGCTGGACACAGTCCTCAAAAAGGAGCCTCTTATTATATCTATGTGAGCACGTATGTGCATGGGTGTACACATGACGGTCAGAGCTCAGCTTGCTGCACGGAGTCACTTCTGTGTGGTGCCTGGGAATCAAGCCCAGGTGGACAGAATTGTTGGTAAGTGCCCTTTATCTGCAGACATCTCAACAGTTCAGGCTCTTCATCTTAAAACATTCCCAAATGGTTTGTGTGTGGGTGAGGGGTATTGAGGATTGAAGGCAGGGATTCATGCATGCCAGCCAAGTGTTCTTGTAGAACTGTGAACCCCAGCTCTCTGTGAGACAGGGTCTCACTAGGTGTGGAGGCTGGCTCTGAACTCACTCTTTAACCCAAGGCGTCCTTAAGTGTGATTCTCCTGCCTCGGTTCCCTAAGTGGCTAGTTTTACAGGCCTGGTCTAAGTGTCTGAGACTTGTGAGTTCTAAGAACGCTGATTTCAGGGGTGTCAAGAGTGTACCCAGGAACTGGACCCTCAGTTGTCTTTCCATCCACCTAACAGGCTGAGATCTGGCCTACGTATCAGATTGAGACTGTAGCTTCCCTTTCTTCCCACCAGGCACTGGCCACAGAAAGAGGCCGAAATGATGTATCTATTGGAACGACTTTATTTAAGTACACTGGGCCCCAACAGGCAACGTGGCTTTTCGAGGCTGTGCAAGGGACAGGCTTGGGCTAAGAGAGGTGAGCTGGTTAAGCGCACTACAGTCCATGGGTTGCCACATTGATTTCACACACACCGGCTTCAGCTTACATCTGGCAGGGGCCTTTGGTCATTGGATGGTGAGAGAGAAAGAACACTGTCTGGAATCTGGAACCGAGGTGGGACTGGGCATCACTGGTGAGGGTGCCGGTGAAGACAGGCTTACCCTAGCTTTGTACTGTCTGGGTACAAAGGCCCTTGGACCACTTCTGAGAGCCAGACCTGAGCCCATCAGTTCTTGGCACTTGGCCGGCCTCTTCTCTCCAACCCCAAACAAGTCCAAAGTCAGGAGTGGCTTTGACTAACCCAGAAGGGACCTCCCTGCCATTCCTGGTCAGCTAGAGTGGTGAAAAGCAACATGGTTAACTGCAGCTTTCTTAGTTTTAAAGGGTCTAGATCTCCAATACACCTCCCTCGCAAGGGGCCTCTGCCAAAGAGTGATGCTATTTCCTGTTTTGGAAAATCTAACTGCAACCAGCCTGGTGGTTCCAGGGCAGTGAGCAAGTGGAGGAAAGAAAAAAGAGGAGGCTGGCTGGGGTCCCTTATGTGCAGCCTCCAATCCTGCAGGGTCCTGAGGCCTGGGAATACTGTCAGTTTACCATCAGGAAGGGTGATGCCCTGGACGCTATGCAAAGCCTAGGTGTTATAAACATTAGTGTAAGCAAGGTGCCCGGTGGGCAGAGGACAGTGAGCCCTCTCTGTAGTCCCTTTACCCAACAAACACTTCCATAAATAAAACTGAAGATGGCATTGAAACAAGGATGGATGAGAAGCAGATAACAGGCCCTGGAGCCCACAGGTCCTTACAGTCTCCCAAGACCCCTGGATGTGGCTGGGGCTGGTAAATTAACCCCGCAGCGAGCGCCTGTCCTCCCATGCCCAGTGTGGACCTGGTTCCCAGGTAGACATGAGTGTACCCTGCTCTCTCCCGAGCCCAGTCTACAACCACTGCTGGGGTGCTTTTTCAGTCTCCCAAACCCAAACCGAAACAAAGCCAGACAGAACCTAACCCCAGCCTCAGTTCTCAGTCTGATCCAGAGGCATGGACAGCAGAATGACGGGAGGGGAGGCAGCTGCCTCCAGCCTCAGGGCACTCTGGGGTGGGGTGGGGCCAGCCCAGCCTAGATTGGCAGCAGCAAGGTCTCTCTATGGTAGTGACCATAGTTCCACACAGCCAGACAAAGGCCTAGCTGAGAAAGGAGTGGGCCTCTGCCAGGGCTCTCTCCTGGAAGGGGCCAGTTAGTAGTCAACCCCAGGCCTCAGGCCATCACCACCGTGAGTAGTTCAATGTCCTTTCTGGGCCCGGGATCCCTGGGCCGCACACACTCGCCATGTGCATACACTCATACCCACACACTCACTCACACACACAGGCAGTTCCTCTCCAACACCCCAACTCAAGAAAGCGAGTTTTCAAGTGGAGTTAACTTCAGAGAGAGGTGAAGGTGCGGTCTCAGCTTTAGAAGGTTTTCCTGTGGATGGACCGGGCACCATCTTCTTCGTATTCCTTCTTGGAGACCCACATCTTCTTAAAGGTGTCCAGGGAAGCAAGGATTGAGCCTCTGGAGTGGGAAAAACCCAAAGGAGAAGTGTGAGTGAGTCAAACTGTGCAGCTAGCCAATCCCTCAGGGGCCGGCCTTAAAGGGACAGGGGAGGATGGTAGAATGGTCAGAGTTCTCGATTCCCATTCTGCTCTTATTCTCTGGGCTACTCACCCAATCCACGTGGAATACAGTCTCTCCTGGGGTGCAGATATCTGCAGAGGAAGATGGAAAGAGGAATCTAAAACACCTGGGCCCTCCTTACTCCTCTTTTGCATGTATGTGTTCCCGGGTAAGTGGGAACATGTATGAGCGTGTATGTGTGTGTGGGTGTGTGCACATGTGTGTATGCACAGAGGCCATTATTGACATCTGGTGTCTTCTTCTGAAGCAAGAGACTCTTGCTGAACCCCGATCTTGCCAGTTCTGGCTAGTCTACCTAGATGGCTCGCCTTAGAGACCTTGTCTACACCTCCCAAATGCTGCAATTACAAGTGGCCGCCATACCTACCTGGCTTTTCTGAGAACTCTGGGGACCTGAACTCTGGTCCTCATGCTTGCGTAGCAAGTGCTTTATCCATGGAGTCATCTCCCCAGTCCCACCCCCACTCCTACCAGCTGTTCCTCTGTCTTGCTGCCAAGTTCAGTGTATGCACACACGCATGCAAGAGGGTCCTTGCTGGACCTGTGACTTCCTTCAGGAGCTATGGTCAGCCTGACACTAAGCAGGGAAATACACCTAGAGCAAGAGTTAGGCCCCTTCATTCGGGGTCCTTCCTCTCCACAAGAAGTGATTCCCTTCAGCAGATATTCAGAAGGCAAACTGCATTATAGGGGTTCTGCCTTGGGGGATGAAAGGGGCATGACAACAAACTGTCAGTTTAGTGTTCCCCAAGGACCACAGTGGGGTCCTAGCTAAGTACTCTACCAGATTCAGGTATTAAAGCGTGTCTCTATGTAGGTCCAGGCTAGCCTTGAACTTTGGCAGTCCTCCGCCTCAGCTCCAAAGGGCTAGGATTACGTGTACACATACAGCTGCTGTTCCATAGTGAAGAGAGTGACAATGGGTCCTTCTTTTTGGTTTTCCAGACAGGGTTTCTCTGTAGCTTTGGAGCCTGTTCTGGAACTCACTCTGTAGATAAGGCTGGCCTTGAACTCACAGAGATCTGCCTACCTCTGCCTCCTGAGTGTTGGGATTAAAGGCGTGCGCCACCACTGCCCTGCTGAGAATGGGTCCTCTTTGAGGCAAATGGGGTCATTCTATGTGCTAGGAGTCCCTGACACTACTAAAGTGCTGTGGTTGCCTGAAGAGCTTGGAGGGATCTGGAAGGGGCCACACCAAGTACTCCCAAGCCCATGGAGCCCAGCTCCTCCCGGCCCAGCCTCCAGTGCGCTCCTACCCTGATCTTCACGTCTTTTGGAGCCAGTTTCTTCACTTCACTCAGTAGCCTGTCACCAAAGCCTAAATGGCAGAAAAAAAAGAGACCCCAAATGAATTCTCCGGGTACCAATCCCGGCAGGACAGGATCTTCTCCAACAAGGGTCCCATGAGCAAAGACTAACCTTTGAACAGGGTAGAACCTCCTGAGAGGACGATGTTAGAAAAAAGTGTACGCCGTAGGTCCATGTCAGACTTCTGGATGGCAAACACCAGGACCTCATGGATACCCTCACTCTCCTCACCAATCAAGTCTGGCCTGAACAGCAGCTCAGGGGCCCGGAACCTGGAAGGGCCGATCTGGAGAGTGAAGAACTCGCTAAGGGTTGGGCTGTGACTGAGGTCCCTTGGAACTGGGAACAGAAGAGGTCTTTCTACCTGACTCTTAGGAACCAGGTGTATGTGAAGCCTAGACTGATGACAAACCTTTATGACAAGGACCTCAAGGAGCAAAGGCGGGGCTCCCGGAAAGAAAAGGCTTCTGGGAAACCAGGGGGGAAGCATGCTACCCTAGCTCTGGCATGTCTAGCAAGAGAGATCTCTGGCATTGACACTCTTGGGAACATCTCATCAGTAGAAGTCCCAGGGAGCAGCGGCTTCACCAGTCTGTACCCAGGAGTGGTTAAAGACAGCATGAACACCCACTTCCCTCTGCACCCTGACCTAGGGGAAGTCCCTCTGAGCCCCTTCCCTTCTCTATAGAAAGGTTTTCTCTATAGAAAGCACATGGGCTGCCTGTGCTCTCAGGGGTCCTGCTGCTCAGGGCATTCCACTTGAGTCCGAGCTTGATGGTAGGTGTGAGGGAAAAGGGAGAGATGGGGGCAGTACCTCAATGGTGCTGCCATCGGGCAGGTAGTACTGGGCCTTCTCCGTCTCTAGTGTCTCATCCTTCTGGGGGTTGATGGACAGGTAGCAGGCTCTCTGCAGAGTCAAGAGTGACAGTCAGGATGGCAGGGAACCTAGTACATTCCCAGGCAAACTCCCACAGAAGTGGCATTGCACAGATCAGCTTGTTGGCAGTGACCGCCTAAAAGTACTTGCCCAGAAGCAGGGACAGAGGTCTGTCACACTGCCCTGAGTTCTTGCTCCA